CCCCCCCCCCCCCCCCCCACGATGGGGTGGGTCAGGGGAGGGGACTAAGAGGTGGGGAATAGAGGGAATCCGAATAGGAACCTCTGACCGCTTCGGCCGGGGCTGAGGCGAATTTAGAGAGCTACCCAAGTGCGTATGGCCAGAAGACGAGGCTTCGCCTTTCGACTCCGTAGTTGCTGCACGAGGGCAAAGATGACGATGCTGAGGATTGGTTGGCTTTTTTCTGGCTTTTAGGGTTTAGGGTTGTTTGGGTTTAGGGTTTAGGGTTTTTTGAAAATCATCAAGGGGGTGATGATGAGGCTGTTTATGCTGATCGTGATGCTTGTTACGATGGTGGTGATGCTTTTGTGTGCCTGTCGCACCTTCCCGGAGCGAGGGCGCAGTGCCTGGACGGCCCTGGTCAAACGGGGCTCCGCTACCATGGGGGGAAGTATCCCGCCGGGCAGCGTGAAGATGTCGAAGATGTCGCTCCCGAGCTCCTGCTTCCCACGTGATGCGTCCCATAAATGAATTTTGTTGGGCCCTGCTTCTGTGGCCTGCCATGGACCCCAAACCTGCAATAGAATATTCTACGCTAAGCCGTCTTCTGACTTTTCAGGCCGCTATTTTAGGACCCCGCAACATTTTCAGAGCTCTAGATTTAGCTAGGTTTATATAGTTTATGCTATTGATCATTGTTGTTGGTGTTGTTGTTGTTAAAATACGTAATTTTTATCAAACGTACTACTACTATTATTATTACGATGATTACTATGACTATTACTCGTATTATTATTATTGTTATTATGATTATTATTAGTATTATTATTATTACTATTATGATTACTAGTAGTATATGGGCTTGAAGCAGCTCTCCAGGCGACTTCGGCTGGTATGTCCTCACCGCGGCGGACCCGGAGGAGAAGAAGAAGAAGCTCAATGCGGTGCCTTGGGCTTCATAAACTTAGGGCTTTAGGGCTTAGGTTTGAGGGCTTTAGGGTTTAGGGTTTTAGGGTTTGGGCTTTAGAGGGGAAATCTGATGGGCTTGTTCCGTTTAAATGCGGCGCTTTGAGCTTCATAAACTTAGGGCTTTTGATAGGTTGCCTGAGAGTTAACTGCGGCGACTTGCAGTGCATGATGAGAGAAACGCAGAGAGACAGGCAGCCTCGGCATATTAATATGTGTGTGTGCATGCATGCATGAAGGGATGTATGCATGCCTGCGCGCACTATGTATAGACGGATACATTGATAGATAAGTAGGTAGGAAGAAACGTAGATGTAAGTGTATGTGTATGTGTATGTGCATTTGTGTGTGTATGTGTGCGCGTGTGTATAGATATAGATATACTACAATTGTATGTATACACATGTGTACGCGTGTACGTATATGCAAAGGTACATGTATAATTTGTGTGTATATGCACATTGGTATATACAAAATATCTATATCTATATCTATATCTATATCTATATCTATATCTATATCTATATCTATATCTATCTATCTATCTATGTAATCTATCTATCTATCTATCTATCTATCTATATGTATATATATATATACATATGTACTTAATCGTTTGTGCACATGTGGCTATTTGCTCATACTCATAACGTTTGCTTATCTCTGTCTGCATCGCAGTTGCAAGAATCACTGAACCACGCCAAGGCTGCACCTGTGCATAGAAGGGGCACGGAGAGCTTGTAGCTCGCTGCGCACAAATCGTGTGATGAGCCTTATAATTCGAACGTGGGTATGGGGGCTCCTTATTATGATTATAGTACAATATACCCCAAAACCCTGATATATCTGAATCCAAAGTAGTAAGCCAGGGCCAGTCCTCAACAACGGGACTCCGAAACCCTCCCCGCCCTGTAGACTGTCAGTTTGTATACCTATCAATATGCGCAATAAGGATCTTGGCAGGTCCTGTTTTACGCTGTGCCATGGCAGTTCGTGTTGCATCCTACAGGGTGCGAAGACTGCACAGCCTTGAATTGACCAAGCCTGCAGGAGCTTGCAAACGGTCGGCTGGCCATGATGGCCATCATCGGCACCTCGGAGTAGGTTGAGAGGTAGTCAGGTACTCCCCACCCTATATCCTCGTCGTCCTAGTGGTGCTTGGAAGTTTGAGCAGTAGCAGTAGCAGGTCCAGTCGCAGTACCAGCTGCTTTGCAGCCGCTGTAGTAGTAGTACTAGTACTACTACTACTACTACTACTACTACTACTAGGAGTAGTGGTGGTGGTGGTGGTAGGAGGAGAAGGAGGACGGGGAGGAGTGGTAGTAGTTGCTCTTGTCGTTGCACTGAGGCGCTCAGCTTGTTGTTTCCGTAGCCTTTTCTCGGGCAACTGAGGCATGTTCTATCAGGATGGCCTCACAGGCGAGGTGGGTCCTCGGATGCTTCGGGTGCACTAGACAGGGCCACCGAGTTGACTGCATATTACATTATAGCATATCGTAGTTTATTATAGTATGTTATATGATGTTATAGTATGTTTTATAATATGTTGTAGTATTTTGTTGTGTTGGACTAGTACACTAGTATAGGCTCGCTTGATTCCTTAGGGGTTCATCAGGTTTGCCGGTGGCTAAGCGGCTTTCTGATCGGGAGGCAAGTCTGCATAGCTCTCTGCAAGGATATCTTAGCCCTGGCTGGGCAAAGAAGAGGAATTCAATTCGGACAGTAGATGGTTGTAAGTACCCTACTCATGGGGGTTACTGCTTAGTTGTAGTTGTAACTTGTACTCTTCCCGAAGTGTAACCCCATTTGTTACAGGTCCTCGGACCCTAAACCCCGAAACATCCTGCAACCCGTGTACCAAAGCACGCTGATCCTTCGAAAGTACCGCGGCTTTTGAGACTAAGAAACAGGCTCCGCCTGGGGCGACTGGCTCCTTGGCTGCTGGAAATCAGGGCTACGGCTTAGGGCTCAGGCTGTAGTGTAGGGCTTGAGGCTGTAGGGTTTAGGGGTTAAGGCTTTAGGGTTCAGGCTTGAGGGTTTGGGGTCTAGGGATTAGGATTTAGGTGCTGCATCCGGGGTTTTGGGTTTCGATTTTGCAGACCTGTCGTCACAGCTTCCTGTCTTGTTGTTAGTATGTTTGCTGTTGCTGTCGGCAGTACGAATCCTGCCAGAGTTATGATGAAGGTTCTCCATCTGTTGAACACTCACCCTAAGCCCTACCACAAAGCCTCAAAGGCATCATTCGCCGAGGTCTCTATCATGATTCTCTAGGGCTTCTATTTGCAACGCATAGGATCTGGCCCTCATCCCTAAGCCCTAGCTAAGACGTTCGGTCACCTTTTGCGGCCGACCCGTCGTCCTCTGCATGTCGGTGTGCTGAGTCTTTCTTCTGTACTTGACTCATGACAGGCCCGGGAGTTTCGGAGCCCACCATGATTTCAGACTATATCTGCTGGCATATTGGGGCGTCTTATCAGTCTTATGACGATTATTATCATGGATAAAGAATAGGTTAATTAGTATTATGATTGTCACTGTTATGATGCAAGTCCCTATAATCCCTAAGTTCAGGTACAAGGGTGGATCCCCTGTAGTCCTTACACAAGTTAAGCGATAGTCTAACTATTGATGCCCCTGCATTATGTTCCTTAGGCGGGCCTTCTTTTGGGAGTGGTCGCAGACGTCGCTTTTTTTTGATGCCAGTTGTACATTGTGGGGATCGGCACTTTCCCTGAGTCTTGCAGGCGTCAAGGTCCTTGCGAAGTGCAGGGCTTTCGGGGGTTGGTGTTAAGGGCCCTAAACCCTAAACCCCAAGGGAGCGCATGCTGGTACTAAGTTGAGGGTGTTTAGGGCTCAGGTCTCTTGTCGCTGCAAGTTCCGCTGGCCTCTGCATGCCAAGAGATCCTGCCCTAAACCCTAACAGCCCTAAAGGCCTAAACCCTCCTCCCCAAATCCAAAACCCCTCAAAGAAACCTAAACCCCCAAAACCCCAAATATCCCCAAAGCCCTATACCCGACAAGCAAAACACAAGCTAAAGCGCTTTGAGTCCAGGGCCAACTACACGGAGTCGCCCCTCCGTGCCTTTGAGGATGAGACCGGCGTGCAGCCCCCCGCGGCTCGACTCAAAATCTTCAAGCCGAAACCTGACAGGCTTAGGGGCTTAGGGTCTTTTTTAAACACGCAGAGGAATCAGAACACGACGACTACGAAGCTTTGACAAACAGCTATCAACATCGATAGCCTCCCCCCCCTTCGGGCAACTTCCCGGTCACCCCAGTGTAGACCGTGAAAGATAGGAAGTCAGATCAGGTCTTGGGCTTCTAGAGCATCTCCCAAGTGCGATTTCCCCCCCCCCCCACCTTCCCCACCCCCCTCCCCTGCTCCCGCGGTTAGGGAGAGGCGTTCTTCAAGAAGGGTTTTCAGAGTGTTGCAGAACTTTTTCTTGAAGGATTCGAAGGATTGCCGGGCTTTCATGGGCCTTTAGTTGCTGTATCAGGACATCTTGATTCAGTTGATTCAGCTGGGTTTCGGGTTTAGGGTGTTGGGGTTAGGTGTAACATGTTTGAGAGGTTCTTCAATTACAGCATAGATTCTGCTATTTGGATGCCTATCTTGAGTCTTGAGAAACTGCGAGGGAAAGGTTGCTTTCATCCACACACCCTTGTAAAGCCCCTCGGATTCGAACCGTTGTAGAAACCTAACAGAAACTAAACCAGCCTGGTAGAGCCCCCTCTTCGAAGCCTTTGTAGCCTCAACACCCCTGTAGAACGTCTACTACAACCCTTTTTCCTTGTAGCACCTGTAGCCTTAGCAGCCCTCTACCTCTGTACCTCTCCTACCACACTTCTTACCGCACCCTAAACCCTAAACCCCAAACCCTAAACCCCTAAACCCTAAACCCTAACCTTAAAAGAAGCCTCCCAGGTCGGGTTTTGGGACCCTCTGGGACTTGCCTCTAGCGGCAACATGGCTGACTTCTCCCGCCGACGCGAGGTGGAACTGAAGCAGCTGGGACGCAGTTCTCTTATGGTGTAGGTGTCTTTAGGATAATCACCTAAGCCCCTAAACTTTAAACCTGTTTCAGGGTTCAGGGCTTGAGGGGGTTTGGGCTCCTCCTCCTGAGGCTGCAAAGTGAAGTGCGTGGCTCCAACAAATGCCAGTGGTTTTAGGGTTTAGGGCTGTTCTTGCATGCTAAACCCTAAACCCTTGCGTCTGTGCTGCAGCTTCCACGGGCCTTGCGAGGCTTGGGATCTCAAAGCAGTCTGATTGCAACCAGTCCTCTTTGTTAACTTGTATACATACCACATACGTACGTTCTTGCAACCCCTTCTTGGCTACTTAGGGTGCAGGGTGGAGGGCCAACCGATTAGGCACCAAAACCATGGACATCATTTTTCCAAAAACTTCTGCCCCCTGATTGGCGCCAACAGGGCTTTGGGGCACCCAAGCTTCGTGAAGCGACACGTTGATGAGACTCTTCCATGAGGCTTCCTTCTTTGCTTCTTCCTTCACACATTGATCCTTTGGGCTTTGAGTGTTGGGTTATGGCACTTCCCAGAGGCATGGCCGCGTGGCCATGTTCGCGACCATTGGTTACATCCTCCCGGAATACTGGCGCTTCCCTGGCTACCTCTCCAAGTACCTGGACATCAAGCTGCATGGCAAGACTGGAAACTAGGAAATCGTAATCATCGACTCGCCGTGCCAAGATAGACAATCGTGCCCGTAAGATCTTAGAATGTTTAAGACATGCACATTGGCAGGTTCGCAGATGTCCCCAACGGCCTCAGCGCTTTCAGCAAGGTGCCCGTGCCGGTGCTGTTTCGGATTGACCCACTCTCAGGTTGCAGCTTCCACACTGATGCCTGGGCTCATAATTAAGCCGCTGCCGTTGTTCCTCGTTGTTGTTCTCCTCCGCCCACGCTCAGTGTCGATGAGTCCGAGGGATGGGGGACTTCGTCTCCTTTTTTGTTGGAGTTCGCTTCACAATGCCCTTCCGACTTGAGCTTTCCTTTGCCTGAGGTGGTCCTTGGTCTTCGAGACCCCTCCGCCCTTAATCCAAGCTACCCCTGAACTCTGATCCCTTAACTCACCTCCCAAACCCGACGCTTTCCCGTAGACCTACCCCAGAATCTATGAGAAGGCATAGAGAGCCTCCATGCTGAGCTTGGGAACCCTTTTCGGGCCCCTAAACCCTAAACCCTAAACCCATAAACCCTAAACCCTCTTTTGGGGGGGAAGCAGAGCCGTCAGGTCCCTGCCTTCGGCTGGCTGCAGATCGTGGGCTTCGCAGGAATCGTGGAGGTGAACATCTACAACGAGCAGGTGCCCTCCCAGAAGCTCCAAAGCCCTTTAACTAAGGATTATATACATATATACTATATATATATATACAACACATATATAACATTATATATATATATGCATGCATATATGCCTCTACTGTTTATTTTCCCTATCCTTACTTTAGACATGTGTCTTTTAGAGTCCCTTGGGGATTTGGGGTGCTAAGCCGACCTTCCTGCCCCAGCCGGAACTCCAAACTGCACTCCAAGGCCGCCTGGGCCCCCCGTAAAGCTTGATCCCCAAAATAGTATAGGTAAGTATTATGAGGCCCCTAAACCCCAAACCCTAGTCGAATTCCGAGGCCGAGCCCCGTGGACGTGGGGTAATTCAGGGTTTAGGGGTGTAGGGCACTCCTAAGCACCCTTGAAACGCACAGAAGCCCCAAGACCCTGATAAACATCCTCCAAGGACTCCCGAAAATCCAGAGCCATGGACCTAGCAGCACAAAAAGCCCCCAAGCCCGAGCAAGAGCCAAGCGATGAACCATGAAAGCCTGTCGGAACCCTTATCAACCCCCCTTGACCCTAAACTCTAAATCCTAAACTCTCAACCACGCATAGAACTCCAAAATTCCAACCTCGAATCCCTCCTGGCTCTCTCCATAGACGCTTTTGCAGGAACCACCCCACTCGCCCCAAAAGGCCCTAAACTCTACCCTACCCTAACACCCTAAGCCCCAAAACCCTAAACTCTAAGACCTGAGCACTCAACATCTGAACTCTACACCCTACACCCTAGGGTTCACAGTTTTTTTATTTGGGTTTGGGCTTGAAGGAGTTTGGGTTTCGGGTTTAGGGCTACACTCTAAGACTTAGGTCAACAACGAGCCCGGCAACTACGGCGCCGGTTTCCTGGGGCTGAGGCCACTTGATATGGCAGTGGCAGCTACAAAGTGGCCCTAAGAGTTAGATTTCTTCAAGGGGGGCCCTTGGTAATTAGACTAGGGTTCGGGAGTCCATTGTAGTAGAAATAGACTCAGGAACTTTCAGTAAAAAACATGAAGTGTTCATGAGGGTGCCTTTGTGGCTTTCTCGCCCTTCGGAAGCGTGTTAGGACTGCTAGAGCGCAGGTCTGTGGGTATCATGAACACCGGCATCACGGATCCGGAGGCCTGGACTATGGGCGTTGTACGATTTATGTAGTATTACTATTTATTATTATTGTTATTATTATTGTTATTATTATTGTTATTATTATTGTTATTATTATTGTTATTATTATTGTTATTATTATTATTGTTATTGTGATTATTGTTGTTATTATTATTGTTATTATTATTGTTATTATTACTGTTATTATTATTTGTTATTGTTATTTGTTATTGTTATTGTGAGCGCTTCCCGCTATCAGCACTGACTGCAGGCCCGTAAGAAGAAGCTGAATGCGGAGCTTGCCAACGGCCGACTGGCCATGATGGCCATCATCGGCACCTTGGCGTCGCAAGCCCGCTTGAAGTTTCTCGAACTTCCTGAAAGCACACGCAACTCAAACGGACAGCGCCTTCAATGAAGTGCATCATAGATTGGTAGGTGCCTGTGGCTCGACATGCTGATTGCTGTGACTCCAACTGCCGAGCTTGAGCCGGCATCATACGCTCCGGACACGTCTCCTGAACTTCCAGGGTGTAGGGATTAGGGTTTAGGGGTTTAGGGTTTAGGGTTCCACCACCTGAAAGCTACAATGTTACAAAACTAACACGCCAGAATGCCTCGAGGTATGTTCTTCCAGGATGGCCTCACCGGTTCTGCATGGGGCGCCCCCTGGCTTCGATGCTTTTAAACCGCAGCCCTCTGCCCTTCAAGACTTAGAAGCTGAGTTTCTGGTTACGGGGGGTGGCAGTAAGGCTCAGTAAGGGTGAAGGACATCGTAGCTGGGCTAGAAAGCTTCCTGGCCTTCATGTACACCCATCTTGAACTTGAGCAATTCAGTGTTGTTTAGCCGATGAGCTGATACTAACCGCCGAAGTCCCCAAAACTCCAAGAGCACAATGAAGACCATGAGAGCCTGCGGGCAACACCCAACGAATTCCTGCGACCCCTTCAGATGCATAAAGCCCCCTACTAGTAGCCAGGGTTCCGCAACTTCTCCTGTTAGCGAACCCTAGACCTGCATCGTACCATCCTAGATGCTGTCACAGGATTGGTCTCTCTACACCGCCTCCCCTCTCCGGGCCTTCGAGGGTGAGTTGGGGGTGCAGGCTGGCTGCTTGGGCCTTGATGCAGCTTTACTGCTTACGTTTGGCTGCTGACATCGATGGGGATGATGAGGATGATGGTGGTGATGGCCATGGCCTCTCCCTATGATGGAGACACTGCCGGTGGTAATTTTAAACGCTGCGCGTCGTCCGCCTCGGCCCGGCCGTATGTTGGGAGGAAGACATGATGCCAGGTCTGAGGCTTT